CAAAAAACATGTTGATGGCCTCTTTAACACCTTCCACATTTGCATATGTTTTCCCATTAAGATGGTGTTGCAGCGAAACGAAAAAGATGGTAATATGATGATGCCATATCTGGAGAATACGGTATGGTGGGTTGGGGAGAACTTCCCAACCAAACTCTATAATCTTGTGTTGCATCAAAGGTGCATTGTCTAGCAGAAGAAGAACACCTTTCCATTGACGAGGAAGGGCGTTTCTGATGAAGGACTTGATTTAAATGTTCCAGTTGCTGACTATTCATTTCTATATTAACAGTTTGCTGTGGATTCAGGAGTACAAAATGAATTACTCCTTTGATGTCCCACCAAATGCAAAGCATCACTTTCTGTGGATGGAGTCCAGGTTTCTGTCTAGGACTGAGCCATTGTTTTGAGCATTTAATATTCACATAGAGAATCCATTTTTCATCACCATTGACAGTTCTGTCCAAAAATGGTTCACGCGTATTACGTGCCAGAAGAAACGAAGCAACATTCACATGTTGGAAACGATGATCATTGGAGAGTTCGTGAGGCACCCAAACATCTTCTTTATGGAGTTTTTCCATATTCCTTTGATGTTTACATATTGTTTCATATAAGTGAAAAGTGGACAAATCTGAGAAAACTCAACTGGGGTTTGGGGACTGCCAAACATACCCCACCACCACCAAATTTTCTCCTTGAATCTGCATCAATCTTGTTATTGAAAGTAGCTTTACTAGTTCTTCAAAATGATGATAACATACAGCAAAGCCAATGCATTCTATGAAAAACATCAAGCACACAACTGCAGGAAAAAAACACATATGAAAAATACATGTAAAATTTTTTTCCCAGTCATTTACTAATCTTTCCTGTGGATAACAACAGACACTCAGATGTTACACAAAAATAAACTGCTGATGAATATTTAGTAATAGAATCATCTCACTTTTAACTTGAGACATCAGTTACAAATGAATTTAGTGGTTTGGTATAACAAACCAAGGTGAATGCAAAATGTGTTTAAATAATGTTATACCATGTTTTAAAGCTGCCAGTTTAGAGTTTTATTATCCAGTTACTGGTTATTATGAATATAAAATGTTCAGATGGATATGTAAGGTCAAACAGGAAGTGAATGAATACCATAGACTTTTTGTTTGCAGCCTATAAAAGTGTTGCTTAACAATAAGAATGAAGTATCTAAAAAAAAAAGTTTAATGAAAAAACATTTAATTTCTAATAAATCTTGTGGATTTTTAATTGCTGAAATGCACTATGCAATGAAATTTCAGCAATTTACAAATAGTGAAAAAAATATGCAAGTTTAATATGAATAAGTTTACCCCATGACACAATATATACCAAGTAATATATATATATCATTACAACACTATTAAGCTGATGAATACAGCCACTATTCAGAAACACTGCCAATGATGTGGGTATTCCACCCACTAGACATGTAGGGCCTTGATTTTTCTTTCATTATCACTCATTACCTAAATATCTTTGTAGCAAGACAACTGACTGAACATGTCATAAAGGTTCCTGTTTCTGGAACATATGTTTAAATTCACAGGGACTGTATGGCCAATACTATAAGCACTGTTATCACATCTAGTACAGAGAGGGATCCATGCTCGGGTCAAGTGTAATAAATGTAAAACTGACCTCTATGTTGATTGTGATCAAGCCATAAGAGACAAAAACAGAGGTGTGACTGCAAATAGATACTCAGCATGTGTTCTATCAATAATGTTCAATCAATTAAATTTTTTACAAATTTTCCTTAAGTATATATGGCTATCTGTGAAGTTCACAATGATTACACTAGACAACAAAAAATTGGCTACTAGAGAAACCTCAACCAATTCAGAGTAATCTGATGGTGCTGATTTCAAAAATGTTATCAGAATTTGTCTATCACCTCTAGATTTTGAGTTATTGTAATATTTCAATATTTTATAAGCATTATGTGAAATACCATGCAATCATCTCAGTACAATAGATTTATGTTGTGAAATTAAGTTTACTTTGACAGTTTAACTCTCTCACTAACGGGCTTGATCCCAAGGACTGACCTCGTAACCATTTTGTGCTTGTTATAGTTATAGCTTTTAAAACAGTATGTAGATCTTCACAAAATTTTGCAGACTATCAAGAAACATTACAAGGCTTTTGTACACAAAATATCTGATTTTTTATTAAGTTTAAGATTTTTGAAGTAATGATTTGAATTTTTTCTTTTCGACTGTTGACTATCCAACAATGCAAAGAAATTTTGATTGTAAGATTAAAAATACTTTTATACATCAAAAAATTGTCAAATTTCACATTTGAAATATCTACAACCTCCAAATAATTATCAAACGTTTTTCTTTTTAATTTATATTTTATCTGTTATTTTCACTATTGTATCTTTGTATGGGATTTGGTTGATTTGACCAACCTCGTATTCAGCATAACAATCAGGAAATAGATGTAATTTATGTTTTCATTCTAGGATGATTACAAATAATACCATGAAACCACAAATGTTTAGTCTAAATAGCTTAAATCTCCTAACGTTATACATCTATATATATTTATTATTTTTATTCTATTGAATTTTCAGGTGTGTCTGACAAACATTACAGAAGTTGCAAAGACGTAATGCATGTGCACTCATGCTACCATATCCAATAGTATAAAACTGGCCTTTACAAAGTGACCTGTCTTGGCTTTCTTCAAGTGGACCAGTATTTTGTAAAATACAGTCACATTTCAGTTATAATACATTACATACGTATATGTATTATTACTTTTTACAAATAAGTTCTCAAATTTCAGTTATTTTTCTTAAAACATAGAACAGTAAATAAAATAAATACAGAAAACAGTGATTTCTACTACTTACGATTGCAAAGAAGTTTGTACTCGCTTGCCATACCTTGCATGCAAAGCCTTGCCAAATTTTGCAAGTTGAGTATGTAAAACAATTTTTTTTAGGTTTTACATATGCATTTTGAAATAACAAAAAATTATAAATTACTCTTCCAATATCACAGAATTCTGCTGTAATTTATCAGGCTTACTAACAAAAACTGTATTTGGGACTAAAAAAATAGTTTTTCAAATATTTCCACTTACCCTTTCCTTCCAAGTTTGGAGACAAAATATATAATCTTGGAAAACTCCCACCTTCAAGAGGCTGAGAAAATCCCGTAGAGAAAATTCTGAGCTTTTGACTCATTATAAACACATGATAGAGTGACGCAGATGTATGTTAACAAGTATTTAAAAAAAAATGGAAGAGGTGGGTGGGGCCACAGTGTTTGATTAGCTAAATATAGTGATATCTCAGCATATAGAAATAATAAAAGGGTTCTTATTTTATATTCTAGCTTGTCAATATTGGTCTTTCTACTTGGACATCACAAATATCTAATTTGTATTCAAGAAAAACACTGGCTCCACATGTGTGTTGTACAGTATCTGATGGCGTTGGTCCATTATTCCACCTATCTTGCAAATATCTCCTGTTGCCTCAGCAGAAAAACACCCCCAAACCATCACACTGCCTCCCCCATGCTTCATGGTGGGTGCTATGCTTTGAGGTAAAATTATCTTTCACCTTTCTTCTGCTGGACATGCAACCTATGCTTTGAACCAAATATTTCAAACTTGGACTCATTTGTCTATAACACCCTTTTCCAATCATCAACAGTCCAGTTTTTGTACTTTTTAGTAAATTTCAGTCTCTTGATAATAGTTTGAGATCAAAGTAAAGGTCTTTTTAACTGCTACACAACCAAATATTCCATTCTCATTGAGTCTTCTTGATACTATAGATCTGGACACTTTTCTGTCATTTGGTACATGGTCATTTATCTCATGCTTGAGATCAGTGGCAGCCTTCCTTTTGTCCCAAACTCTGCATAAACAAAGATACTTTACATCAGTATCACTGAGTTTAGGTGTTCTGCCTCTTCCTTTCCTATTTTAAAATTTAGCTGTCTCAGTCTCACGATCTAGGGTGTACTTGATAGTGTTTAGGAAGCATTTCAAGTCTGCAGCAATTTGTTGGAGAGTCCAACCACATCACGTTTAGTTTTTAATGCGAACTCTATATGCTTTTTGGGCCATGGCATGACAATAAAACTTAATAAATAGTGTTAAACACTGTTTTTACAAAGGTTTATTTGTGAAGTGCTTTTAAATTGATTCCTTCCAGCATATACCAGTACCATATGCTAGCTCCTTTCTGTATAGTTAAGACACTGCATGGAGTACCATGACAGTTATTTCAGACCCTAAATTTGATTAGTATGTTCATTCAAGCAGAACCCTTATGACATGCCCTTGGTACAAGTAAATGGGAATTCTAAAAAATGATAAGTATCCTCACCCTGGCTCATTCAATTGTCAACAGGGATCAGTGAAACGTGTGATCATGAAAAGTGTTGAAATTTACATTTTGTAATGGCATGAAAGAATTAGCCCAATAAAATGGAAAGAATGATAAAATATTCTCTTGTCCTAACACTTTTGCACAGTACAGTAAGTCTAAAAATGTGATGACATGCCCTTTGACCCTGACCAGAGGAAAACTCATTATAGCAATAGGGTTAACGGGTAAAAGATATATTTTTGATAACTTCAAACATTGACTGTATTGCATTGGTGTAAAATTCTAAATATATTGTTCATGGATATGCCCTTTGTTCTTGATATAATTGTAGTAAATTGCACCACTTTTGCTTCATTCTCACACTCACCTGCTCCACCCAAGAATCATGAAACCCTAATGTGCTCAGTTTGCTATAACATTCAAGAAGTCCCTCAACTGAGCATAAAAGGGGTGGAGTCAGATGCCACTCTCTCTCTCAGTTGGTCGCTTCGCCTTGCTCTGCACACAGCTGAAGCAAAGTCCGATCTTCTTCTTCACATTACCCGCGATGTAATCAAATTCTGTAAAATTTTATTTTTTAAATCTTTTAAACTCTAGTTCGGTAAACATTTGAAATGATGACTGCTTCCATTTCAAATAAAGTCTAAAATTACAAAAATCGCCCAAACCGTTTCTGCTACATTTGTGGAAAATATATTAGTTTCATGAAGGAAAACATCAAATACAGCACTTACTACCACAATTTTGGGTATAAAATCTGTGACCAAGAAAAACACTGGCTCCACATGTGTGTTGTACAGTTTGCACATCTGTCTTGTCACAGTGGCTGAATGAGAAGAGAGCAAGTATGTCATTTGCAGTTCCCATGATATGGCACGAACCCAATTATCATCTAATTAATTGTTATTTTTACATAATTAATATTACTTGATATTCTGGCAAAACTAGAAAATATGTTAAATATCCAGATACTGCATCTGCAATGAAACCAATACTTCATGGAAACGGTCTTCCAGTGCCACATCCACCAGCAAAATGGGAAACAGAAGAGTTATCCTGTGAAGAAGACAATTAATCATCTTCATCTAGAAATTCTATTCCTGTTGCACGTCAACATAAGCTGCCCCATTTGATCACAGAAGAAGAGCTAAATGATATTATTTGTGACCTGTCTCTATCAAAGCAGCATGAGAAACTTCTTGGCTCTCATTTACAGCAATGGAACTTATTAGCTCCAGGAACAAGAATTTCAATTCACCAAAGTTGCCATCAAAGTCTTGCTTTCCACTACAACATGCAAGATACTTTGTGTTTCTTTACAATGGTTGACACACTAATAAAAGAATTAGATACTGAACATCATCCTCAAGAATGGAGATTTTAATCGATACATTTAAAGTTAATCTGAAAGCTGTACTTTCACACAATGGGAACACTAAGCTATCAATTCGTGTTGCTAATGCTGTGAACATGATAGAAACTTACCAAAGCATGCAGATTATACTTGAGGCCATCAAATATGATTACCACAGGAGGAACATAAATGGTGATCTAAAAGTTATTGTAGAGTGGGTATATCAAACATTGTTGCTTTTTGTTTCTCTGGGACAGCAGAGATGATACAAATCATTTCAAAAAAGAAAGAAAAAGGAAGGAATGGCCAGTGAAAGAGAATTATATACCTGGGAAATAAGATATTGAATATCAACCTTCAGTGAATCCTCAAAAATGTGTTTCTGCCCTCACTCACTTCATATTAAACTGGGACTCATGAAGAATTTTATAAAAGGAATGAACAAAGATGGTAATGGTTTCAGATATCAGTCTGACAAGTTTCCAAAAATCATTAAAATAGAGGTATCTTTGTTAGGCTACAGATTTGGGAAGTGTTGATGGATGATGATTTTGAAACAGTATTCAATCAGAAAGAACTTGCTGCCTGGAAATCATTCAAACTGATTGTCAAAACTTTCTTAGGAAATCACGTAGATGAAAACTATGCTGTGATGACTGATGATATGATTTAGAACTACAAGAAAATGGGGTCTAGGATATCAATAAAGATGCACTTCTTACACTGCCATTTAGACTTCTTTCCAAATGATCTAAGTGCAGTAAGTGATGAGCATGGTGAGCACTTCCACCAAGATATTTCTACAATGGAACTGCAATATCAAGGACAATGGAATCCTGTGATGATGGGAGATCACTGTTAGTTTTTACAGAAGGAAACTAAGAACATACACAAAAGGTGCAACAAGTAAAGCAGATATTTTGTAACAAAAAATAATACCACGAAGAATGTTTTGAACATAGTCTGAATGTATTTTCAGTATATAATGTTATTGTACTCACTGACTAATTTTAACTGGTATTGCTATTCTGTTATTGTTTTTAGAACTATTTTTAAATGACTAATT